TAATCTTTATTATTTATTTATTTTGAGCCTGCGGCGTGCCTATTGCAGGCATTATCGCCACAGGCCGAACAAACATTAAAAACAACTTTCCGCATTGGCGGCACAAACAATTTCACAAGGCAGCGCATTCCATTCCTTTATAATCTAAAAAAAAAAACTCTTCTTATTTTGTCCTGGCACGGAGATCACGTATCTTATGTGATCTTAACGTTGTTAAATCTAATTTGGAGCATTCCAGCAAGCCCTTTCATATAGGATACAAAAATGTGCACTGAAAAAAAAGGTCCTGGCTTATCATTGTTTATTTTGGAGCAGTAAGCTCGATAAATTCCAGGAATGAAATAAACGTAACACATTGGATATCCAACCTCAGTGGGCATTCCGACCTGGTTGGATATTCTGTCTCGTTGGGTATTCAGTCGATGTAGAAATTCAGGCCTGGTTCAATCTTCCATCTCAATAGATATTCAGTCACGGTGTACATTCCGTCTTAATTGGACATTTCTTCTCGATGGATATTCCGTCTCACTTAATTGTCACGTGACCAATCGGATCTTTCGACTCGTTGGATCCTCCGTCTTGATGGATATTTAGGCCGCAAGCCGTGCCGTTGCAGTGTCAAACATTAAAAAAAGAAAAAAAAAAAAAACATTAAAACATTGGATCTGTTTTCGGTGTCCCCTCATTTCCTTCTATTTCTTCTTTCCTTCCATTTTGAGGCTGCATCTTCGGTCCTGGTTTGTTTCCTGTTCAGTGTTCGGCCATTTCTCCTTCAAGTTTGCAATCGGTTCAAAGGTATACACCAACTCATGTTTACAAACAAACCGGAGCGCCCCTAGCGGACGCCACTGGCGTCGCGCATGCGCGGTGGATGGTGGGCAAGAAGCCCGCCGTCGCCCATAAACAAACCATTGAATTGCGTTGTTGTCGGCGTCGGTGGGAGTCCCCGTGCTCTTTTTCGCGTTGGAATTGTTGATGCTACGTCCTCCTAACAATGTCTGACTACTTGAACGGCTTCAGCAAAACTAACGAGGCAAAACTTTGCGTGAATAATGTGACGTGCGGCGATTCATTTCACGTGGACGCCGTAGAATGGGCGCTAAAGCCAGACTCGCACGATGGGATTCTGCTCGCTGTTCTCAGACACGACGTTGCTCGGACTGTAAAAGCGTGGACCGTAGCTGAGATGGTGGACGTCGATACTGAAAACCGCAAGTAGAATCGGGCATTACAAGTCGGTGATGGCCACTGGTAACAATAATGATAAACATCTTCGTGTATCTGTTTACACTTAGCCTACTTACCCCAACCAACCTTCAAAAGTGTTTTGAGGCCTGCACTTAGTTCTTATCGCAATTACCGGGTCAACATTTGGTTTCCGGGCCGCTATCGTTTGAACGAGCTGACGACAAAAAGCAGCCAAGTTTGAAAGAGCAGACGACAGTTCGAACGCATGCGTAATGGGGTACGGGCAAGAAGCACTGCCGTCCCGCGTCAACAAACCACTCGAATGTCACGTTGTCGGCGTCTGTGTGAGTCTGCCTACTCTTTTTCGCGTTGGAATTGTCGATTCTACGTCCTCATCGCAATGTCTTACCACTTTAATCGCTTAAGCGAAATTATCAAGGCTCGTTACGCCGCTAAACTTTCCCTAAATAATTTGACGTGCGGCGATTCATTCGCATGAACGCCGCAGAATGGACGCCAAAACCATGATGAGATTCTTCCAGCTATTTTCGGTAGCGACGTCGCTCGTGTTGCAAAAGTGTAGAAGGTAGTGGCGATGATCGACGCCGATACTGAAAATCGGAAGGGGGAACAGACCAAGCGTAACAAGTCGATGATGACCACCGGTACCAATGATCAACACCTTGTATCTACTTTTTACACCGAGCCTACTTAAATCTTTTGAGGTCTGCAATTACTTCTTATTGCAATCACCGGGTCAAAGTTTGGTCTACGGGCCGCTTTTGTTTGAACGAGTAGACGACAAAAAGCAGACGTTTGAAAGAGCAGACGAAAGTTCGAACTATCAGGCGGCCGTGTGAATTTGAAGACGCACTGAACCCGTGGGTGGTTCGGACAACTTGGCGGTTTTTTCTCGTTTATGTTAGAACAAAGCAAATACATCTGGCGACCACAAAGTGTTGCCCGCGCACGCAATTGTAGTTCGACAGCGTCTGGTTTGCCCTTTTCACGGCTACTATCCACGTTCTCGGAAGAACGGAGGGGGCAAAAACACATGAAAACTGATCTTCAAACCTTTCCAGACTCTCTTGGTACAACCCCCGTCGCAGCATTTTGACGAGAAAGCAGTTTTTTGTCTCGTTTCTTCCGAAGGAATACAGGAATGCATGTCTGGCACGGCGACTTCTGCCCACCGCCACAGACCGGAAGTGCGTCCGGCGCGCCACCACCGCGGCGTGACGTAGGAGAGTTGAGTTGGTGTATAGGGCCGAGGTGCGCCGATTACTATTTCCGTAAAATAAACCCGCGACAAATAGTGTTCGAAGGTTGAAAAAATGTATTTCAGATCACGAGTACGAGATAGTACTTAGAAATGTAGTTAAGATAAAGTAGTAAATACTCTCGATGAAATATATTTTCAAAATACTAAATTGGGATAGGCACGAGCATGGTTTTTATACACGTATGTTTTGGTGCGTAAAATACAATGCGCTAACGTTACTACGAGCATTACATTATTTTTTTAAAACAAACCGCAAGAACAAACAGCTTTTGTATAGTCATTGAATTGCAGCTTCAGTGCACACAGCTAGGCGGGCGTATAGAACGAAGCCTGAGTGGCTGTGAGAACGGGAGGAATCTGGTTGCTCGGCGAACACAATCAATTAATCAATCAGCGGAGACCGCGCGGGCCGGTCCGGTCGAGTGCGGCCCTCACCGCCGCGGAGCCAGGCGTCGTCACCGACCGCCAGCCACGGAGCCAGGTGGGGACAATCGTTAGGAGTTGCCAAGCGGCGTGACCAACGACGATCGCCGCGAAGCTAATTTCGAGAAAAAAAAAGTTAAAAAAGAAAAGGAAAAAAAAAAAGGTTATCACAGAAAAGATGGAACAGGCGAAGAAGAAAAGCTTTGGGCGTCTCCACCGCCGTATGTCCGAGCCGGCCCACAATGACCGCTCGCAATGGGCTTCTGGTCAGCGCCAATTTTAGCCTTGGTGTGAGTGGCGCGAACTTTGCTCACCTTCCGTAGCGACGAACGTGCGTGTGCCGGGCTGCGATCGAACACGTGAGAACTGTGATTCCCGCAAACAGTGAGATGGTGTATATAGACTGGAATGAATTCCACATTCGCGTAACTAGCCAGGCGGCAGGTTACTGCTACCGGTCATAAAGTTCGTTTAGACTTAGATCGGACGTGTGATTGAAGCGCCGAGGGTAGTAGCCCGAGCTGGATGCGACGGCCTCCGTGCATGTGTCTTGCCATTAGCTCGGGGCGGTTTTCGCGTTTTATTGTGACCACATTTGCTGGAGACGCGAGCTCGTGACGTAGGCAACTACTCTTTTTGCACCAGAACTGGTCCAGCGGGGCCACGCTCCGCAGGTGAACGGTCAAGGATGTCAATTTAAGGTGCAACTCCACATTGAATGCCGTTTTGGTTCTTTTTTTACTCTTTATAACTTTTTTCTTATGCATTCTACAGTCATAAAATTAATGGCAAATTAAGGAACTGTTCTTCAACTATAATTTAATGTCTCGATATCACGTTCATCCTTAGTTTATTTTTTAACTTTCAATAGACCTCTGATATTAAACAATTTTTCCGACACGATAATTTACTTGCGCTGTCTGTTGGATATAGTGAACTACAAAACAAGCAATGAACTGTACAAAGAATGTACATATTTAAATAAAAAATAAAGTCTGAAATAGTGTTATTTCATCGTGCTATAAAGGCGGAATCATGTTAACTAACGAAAATAACGAGACATTAAAGTACGATGTACCTTTTGAAATCACATTTTCCAGAAACTGCACATCGATAGATTTCACGTGAAGTTCAGTATTCAATCACAAACTTGTCACTCAGTTACGGTAAGTTACAGTTTTTTAATATCAAATACAAATGGCGACACGTGTTCAAGAATATCTCGATTAGCATTTGTCGTCATGGGCCGCTTAGAACGCAGCACGAGAAACAGAAATGGTACCAGAGGCGCGGGTGTCAGATGCCTGGATGCCCGCAGTGAGAGAGCCAGAGGTGTAAAAACAACAAGCGCGAGGTTGCCAGTGGGCCACAGCTGCTTTTCACGTGTTTCACGTGTGCACTAGTATGCCCCAATGAAATTGAGGCCGTGAAAGGGATTCCGGCGGTTGCAATTCCACCATGTTTACAAATGCAATTGTTTCTTTTTATCAATTGTAGAAAATATTTTCGAAATCACACTATGGCTTGTTGGAATGGAGGGACTATATTTTGTTACATAGCCACCTCAGTGGCTTCTAGCCGAAAAACAAATAAGAGTCTTTATTTGCACGAGTGGGAGCTATCGTAGAGGAGTCGCGCAGGGGAAACAATATACCGTCATGGCCGGATCGAAAGCGTGCGCCGCGATACCGCATATAAGAATGTATCGGTGTCTCTGAGGCAAAGCGCTGGCCTCCGGGGTCCCCGTTGGGAGGTTTCATCCCGTCCCAAGTGCCCGGAATCTGACGGATGCCTATTGCTGAGAAGACGCCCTGCAATCGAGATTTCGGTTGCACGACAAAGGACCAAGCAATTAACACGCTGTTTTGTTGTTGTTGTTTTTTCTGCTGAAGCGTGCTTGATGCCCTTTGTTGATTTCCCCTAAATCCACTCCATGTTACACGGACAGCCTGAACCTCGCTTAAGTCAACCGCAGTCACGCTTATATGCGTGGTTACACGGCGTAGAAAACAGCGGTTTGCCCGCTAACCTCGTTTACAGGAAACTGGGCCTTAGCCCGGCCGTGTCTGAGCTTGGCAGCGTCAGCTTCGGCTCGCGAACCGACAAAATGGCGGCACCCGCCCAGTCAGCAGCGGCCAGCGGTGGATCATCCCAAGTGGCTTCCGGAAGGCGTGTCCGGTGGCCTGTCGCAACGACAGAGGCCTTTGATACGCATTCGGGAAGACAATCTATACCCCTTCTGCGCTCCAACACCAGAAATGCGCGGCTCTGTGTCCTGGTGGCAACAGAGCTCAATGCGGGGTTGCCTCATGACGCAGAGCCCTACTCGCCTACGCAAGTCCGTGAGAAATTGGAAAACTTAAGCACGCGATATCGGTAAGTACAAAGGCTCATTGGCTAGCGCGTGTAACGATGCATTCCAGGCGCTATTTACATGTAGCGAGGGAGAGTGATGTACTGACTACTCCTATAGCCTGTGATCGCTGTAGTGCATATCATGCGCAAATTCATGTCGCCGCGGCTGCACATTGAATTTCACCACCCTTTAACGTCAAAGAGGATATTTTAGTCTTGCCACATAAATAAAAAAATATAATCACGAAAAAGGTTGAGTTGGTTACTCTCTTCATTGTCGTCTTCTTTCCCGGCTTATTTTTTAGCTTTTACAGCAACAAACGAATGTGCCATGCGCTAACTAGAGCCACTCTATATGGCAGCGTAGCTGCCAGAGTAGCGACACGACGCAAAATCATCTAGATGTCAGAAGCACCGATAGTGATCTCCATTTTGGGCCTGAGAGGTTTCCATGGTAACCATGCTGCTAGCGACGCCGGGCGGCTACTTTTTTAGTCTAGTTTTGTTGATATCTCCATTCGTTCATTGAGGAGTGGTAAAAGACGCTTGGCATGGCGGTGCGGCACGGGCCTCTGGAGGAACGGTTCCTGTTTTTTCTGTGAAGCGAGACGATTAGCAGCCCGGGGACTGTCGGGCGACGAGACCTGCTAAGTATCTTAGGTGCACGGACAAGGCGAGTGGTTTCCTGCGCCGCCGGAATCGTGGCCGCTTCGTGGGACGTACGTACCGTCCTTGTGCTTTCGGACTTCGCTCCTATGGAACAAAATCCGATTACGCCGGCCACGACAGGACGATTGCCTCGGGATATGAATGCAGCTTCACTGCCATATAGAAAGCAAAGATATGGTTAGCATCATACTTATTGAAGACACAATCATCTACTCAGGATGAGATTATCTCACTGACTGGAGAGGAGCGACGTTGACGACGGTCTCACCCTCGTTTGGCGATAAACAGTCGACGGGGTTAAACCAAGAAGGACAGCACGGTGGTCTCCAGAGGATTGTTAACGCCATCAAAAGCGACGGACGCCGGCTATGAGGTGTTCTTGCCGACAGGCCAAGTGGTCGTCCGGAAGTTTGCCGGCATGCAAAGAGTCAATATTTTTATCTGGTGTAGCACACACATATCCGTGTTAAGGGGGCCCATGAAATGATCTTTTAACTTCTTCTTCCTTAGCTGTAATCTTCAACTCAAAAGCGAACTGTGAAATTACGCGGTCGTGAGTAACATGCTAGGGCACTGGTGCGATGACCCCAAGCTTCCACCGTGCTTTTTAAGCACACCATAGAACTTGGCATTCGCAGGGGATGATAATTTCCGTCAGGGCACTCATTGGCCACAAACGCGAATTCAAATATTCGTTGACGAATTGATTGTCGACGAGCGCAACGTCCGAGTGACGCAGTTTTCGTCTCCATTGCGTGAGCTGGGGTCGGCTGACGTGAGTTTGGCCTTTGTGGGCATGGCAAAGAGGATATATAGAACCATACATACATGATGATAACATCGTAGCACACGGACATTAATGGGTACAAAACGGGCCCAGCTACAGAAAATAAATATTACACTCGGAAGAAATAATTATGCCTGTAACTTGTTAATTACAAAGACGAACACGCCTCTGTCACATAGCAGGACATTTAATAAACGTCATTTGAGCAAACGCCAGCTTGTCACTTGAGAAAACAAACAAAAAAAAACACTGCGATCATATGCAGGCTATTGCAACAAAAGCACGTTATATCAAAATCTTCAGAACTGCTGATTCGCAAAATCGTCGATTAGTACAAAAGGCTCAAGATCGCAGGCGCTTCCTCGCTAAAAGCTGCTCTGATCATTCGGTGACCCAGGGCTGAAGCAATCTTCCCCTAGGCCCTACACGCGACTATCTCTCGTTTCGATTCTCAGAAATTCAAACTTTCAAAAAAAGCTAGAAAAATGCTAACATTTTATCCTAAAAGCTATATCGTAAAATCGGTGATCAGTACAAAACGTAAAGATCGCAGGAGCTTCCTCGCTAAAAGTTTCGGTGATTATGCGGTTACCTGGGGCTGAAACAACGCCTGTAAGGCCCAGCATGCGACGCATACATTTTGCGTAGATTCTCACTCCAACGTTGAAACAAAGCCTAGAGTATGCAAAAATTGCATGCTAAAAGTCTTATCGATCCTCGAGCACATCCGGGAATCCGAGGACCGCTACGGCGATATGACTGATGTTGTCGCACAGCTGCTAATGTCCAGAGCGATCTTGCACAGAAAAGGTATAAAGTCTCATTCTTTCGGATCTTCATGTTATACCTGCGTCAGAGAGCACGAAGAAGTCTGAAATCGTGGGGAGAGCAGCGGCACATTACGACTACCGCGACCCGAACAAACTCGTATCCACCAGATCTGGGCGCTGCCATCTTACCGATGACATCACGGCTCTTGAGGGGTCACGTGACGAGTCATCTCTCGGTTGCTATGGGCACGGTGCCAGCTCGGACCGTTGCTATGGTACCGTGTGTGACCAATCGCGGCGAGAGGCGGCACAGGGAAAAGCGTGGCACTACTCTGGCAGCTACGCTGCCATATCGAGTGGCTCTAGCGTTAACGCGTCGCAGCTAGGAGCACGTGGAGCGAAAGCTCGAGCTGCGATACAAAGTCACAACTTCAATGTGATTTTTACCATTCTTTCACAATTTAAACTACTGGAATTTAATCTTCATAGAAAGCTTAGGCGCTTTGGTAGAAAAAGACTGGATCAAAAGGCCCCTCATGGCCCTTCTACTGGCGCCTTTACTGTTCCCTCGGGTCACTGCCAATCAATGATGAGTAACTCATGGGGGAAAATGTAGAAGTAATTTGCAATCCTCAGTTTTACGACTAAAATCAGCAGACGACAAAAGAGTGGCCATCCCTATAATTGGCTGGAGTCGCGAATGGGGCACACTGCGCATTTCTTTAAGAAACGAGCAGGCATAAAATAATATAGCTGTTTGTACCCTTCCGTGAAGGTACAGCTAGACTGCTTTCTGTTAAAAGCCTTCCCTGTGATGGGATACAAGCACGCTGTGTACGCTGTTCTGTCATGTGCAGGTCCCAGTGGTTACTGAGGCACACGAGGATTGCGAGGCCTCTCCTGATCAGGAAGATGCTATGATAAACGAAGGCGGTACTACGCGTCTCGGAGTCCCAATGCATTTGAGCAGCCACATTCGCCGAGCAGAGAGAGAGAGAGAGAGCTACCACGTGACCAATGTCGTGGGCCTCAGCAGCGGCATCCCAGCTGAGGCTATACAACTGGCAGCCGCGGTGCTGGCAGTACCGGTGACAGTTCTGGCACCAGCCAGAACAAAAGCCGAAAGCGACCAGCGGGCTCTGCAATGCAGCAGCTCTTCACAGTGCACAAAGAGGAGTCGCAAAGTGCGGCTAAAGCCGATAAAAGAAGTCACAAGCTGCGAAAGGAGCTGCTCTATGCGGCTGCAGCGGGAGTCGAATGATTTGCAGGGTAGCACGATTAGCCTCATGGAGACAGACTGCGCCACGAAAGCAAATAAAGAATAATGGTGGCACGGGCCACTTGGCTTGAAGCGTTCAATAAAGGTTCCCCGCGGTTATAGCCAGTCTATAGATCTGCCACATCTGATGGTGGTAGCTATTATTCCATTGTGCCGTGAAAAACATTCATGCGAACAAATTAATGTCGATTAAAGCAAAGAGGACATGAAATGTAAACAGAAATAGGATTACCCTGAGTTTACCGCAATCGGGTCAAGCACTGGCATTTGTTGGTTTTGTCTGTGCTCTACAAGGTGCCAAGCACACACGCAAAAAGCGCGTTCTTGAACATTTAAAAACACTGTGATTTTTTTTTTTTTTTAGAACACACCTCTCGTGTACAAGCCTGCGTGTATTAAATGCACCTAACCGAGTTATCTGCTTGCTTTTTAGAGCCATTTTAACGAAAGCAATTCTTACTTTTCCAGCCATTTCTTTCGAGTACATCCAACGAATAGTTTTATCTCCTTGAAGTCAGCCATCACAAAATTCTTGAATAGTGCCAGCACGTTAACACAAAAAGCAGTAAAACGGATGACCTAGTTCACCACTGATGTGGTGCTGGGCCGAATGGGGCGGAAATGCCCTTCGCTAGCGACACCTAGAGGCGTGACTGGTAACTACCAAGCAAACGCACGCAAAGACAAGATTTTAGTCACGGTACCCCGAGAAGGTAAACAACAGAAGACAACCTGATTTCTTCAAGAGAAAAAAAAAAAAAAAAACAGAAAAAGTACAAATAAGCTCATGAAATGACGGCAGCCGCGTCAAACACTGTTCAGGTTGCGGCAGGGTACTCCGCAAGGGCTTTCTTCACTGCAAAACACGTTGAGTGCAGCACGTTGTGCGCAGCACACAACATGTGTATGTTGTTTGCAACACACAACATGCACGAACCACGCAATTCACATTGGCTATATCACATTCGACTCCCTTACGCAAAATCCGGAAGCGTGCTTTTAGCCGCCCAAACGCATTTTCTTCAACATGTCTGGCGCTTGAAAGCCGATATAGTTAAATGCTTGTGATGGCGACGCAGCCGGGCCAGGATATGGAAATGGCTTCATGAGGCGACACTGCAGGAAAAAGGACTGGTCTGCTAAAAGAACAGGACCAACGAAAACTCCTCCGAAAATCTTGGTTTCCACTTTGAACACGTCACCAGCCAGGACAGCTGGCAGCCGTGATCGCCGTTAACATTGCTGCATCGTGGTTCCTTCCAGGAGACCCAACGTTTGTGCATAGGAACTTGTAGGTACACGATTAACCACAGCCAGAAGATGGTACTCTATCAGCCTTTATAGTTAATGTAATAGTCAGCAACGTCGTCTTTTGCCAGACACACTTCGAGGTGACAGCCGTCTAGGGCTCCCATATCTTGAGGGCGACCGGCAACTGCTTCGAATTCCCGCAGGGGATCTGCCAGTTCGTGTACCCTCAGGAACCCATGAACAACTCGGGAAGTTCTCGGCACTGCACAGTAAAGGGCCGCCCACACTAGCGAGAAAACGCGCGTGGCACGCCGATCGCGGCAAGTAACAAAATGTCGCCGATGCACAGTCAGCGCCACGAGCGCGTGCAGAGACACGCCCTTTATCTTGCCGCTTAACCGATTTATCGGCGCGCCGGGCGCGTTTTCTCGCTAGTGTGGGTGGCCCTTAACTCTACAAAACTCGCGAAAAATATTGTTTCCAATCGACCGGCTCACATTAAAAAGGTTGGGCGACAGTTCTGTCTTCGGCGGAGGTTGCGAAGCAGTACAAGCCGATTGCCACACGTTTCTCCAGAGGGATATCGCCTCGCGCATGTTTGTGTGTTGCCGCCTCGTGCACTCAGAAATACTCGCAATGTACTTGAAAGTGTAGCGATTCATTCTAAAGATTTCTTTGAAGGTACTTTTCGGGAAGATGGGAGTGTTGTTTCGAACCACGATTGCCGCTCACGAGAACAAAGCCGCGCTGCCGCTACCACAAACTGGTTGCGCCGTCCAATTCAGCAATTTCTGCAAGAATGTTGAGCTCTTGCATACGTCGTCGTTTAGTCGCTGCTTGTGGAACCGGGAACATAGCCCAAAACACACATTCGTCGGCCTCATTGTCAATGTCCAGCGCAGGACTCCTGAGAGTGCTCGGAGCTACCACAGACCGTCAGAACGGGTCGACTCGACACAAACCTTCACAGCACTACTGTAAATCTATGGCACACGGAAAACCAGCAGAATGCACAGCTGTTCGATACATAAACAAGAGCAGATCTGATAGCAGCTTAAACACGTGAGGTGAGAGTCCGGATAGAAGAAGCATCCAGGCGAAACACCACATTTCGTTGTTTTTTTGTTTTTTTTTAGTCATTTATGAGCCGTGTAACAGCATCTGAGTTCAGTGAAATCTAACCACGGTTAGTTGCAGCAAACCGCAGTTAGCTTAACCGAGGTTAACGCTGCCCGTGTACAGTGTTGCAGTGTCTAGAGTGTCGGCACTCTGTTCCCCGATATTGTTGTGGGCGCCGCCATCTTGGTGCTTGTGCGGAGCAGACACAACTGCCGATCGTCATGATTAAAAAATGCAGCGTCCTCAGCATAAGATTTCGGTGTTAGGAAGCTCATGTAATATTGGTTTGCTCTGTCGCGAACTGTTTAAACATTTGTGGAAGACGGAAAAACGTTTCCTGTGATTTCGGATAAAGCTTCAGATCATCTGGCAACCATGATTTGAAGCCCCAGGGCTAGGTGGCGCAAGCTGCCGCCCGTTACAAAGGGTATAGCCATTACCATCCATCCATCCATCCGATGGGTACGTGTCCTATACTCTGAAGCGTGTCTTATTTTAGCGGCACTATAGTTTCACCTTAAGATCTTAATTTGGACTCCGCTTTACCATAAATCAGGGCGCAGCCAACACTACGGGCCGATGAAGCCAACCCAGCAGCGCCAAGATTGCACAGTCATGCAGTTCGTTCTTTTTTGTGTTTGTACGATCATCGGCTAAACCAAATGTGGTGAAAACGCCGTGACATTGCGTTGCGTCTTTAGTGTGTGTGTGTGTGTGTGTGTGTGTGTGTGTGTGTGTGTGTGTGTGTGTGTGTGTGTGTGTGTGTGTGTGTGTGCGTGTGCGTGTGCGTGCGTGTGCGTGCGCGTGCGCGCGTGCGTGCGTGCGTGCGTGCGTGCGTGCGTGCGTGCGTGCGTGCGTGCGTGCGTGCGTGCGCGTTTTATTTTTGTCTTTATATCTTTGATTGCACTTTTACGATATGTATGATCTCTATGACTTTTACTTATGACTAATCAAGGCATATAGTTGCTGGAGTTCGGAGAAAATAGTGTATATGAAAAAAAGAAAAGTAATACGTTGATGCCAACGAAAACATCAATGAACACGGAAATTAGAGCAGTTGTAACAAGTATCTTTTTTTTTATATTTCTGATCGTCAAATACCACAGTACTTATAGCGACGCTAATACACCGATCTCACTAAGCGTTCGGCGCATGCGTGACGCCGGCATAACTTTAGTTCACAGGAGGCAAACGGCAGTGCACGAGAGGGCTCGACCTTTCTCGTGCTCCACTCGCGCAGAGCTCCAGAGTGGTTTTCGCATGTGCAGAAAGACTAAAGTTCCCTCGATGCATTGCAGCAGCGGTGGCGTAGTCAAACTAGCTGGTGAGATCGGTCTATTGCTCACCTTGATATAGAAGGAAAACCCCGGCGGTTTCTAAACTTTTTCTATATTGTTTTATTGTTGTTTTTTATTACGACCATTTTTTTTTATGTCACAAAACAAATTTATCATTTGTACTCCATAACGTAATATTATGGACTTTATTCTCAAAGACAACAAGACAAAGTTCTGGCCCACAGATCCGTAGTTAGTTCGGATCCCCAGACGTTCAGTGATTATACATAATCATGAAACGTCTGATCTCAGCCTTGTGGCAGTATATAATCGAGGGTGGTAGAAAATGATAACATTCGTCCGCTGTACTGGACGACTAGCTCCTGGTTAGCTCAGTTGGTAGAGCACTTCGCAAGTCTTGTATAGAGATCCGCGGGGTCGGTTCTTGGACTTGGCAGATATATATATATATATATATATATACAAAAAAAAAGAAATATATATATATATATATTTCTTTTTTTTTTTTTTTTTTGTAGCGGCGACAAGTCACCTAGGAGGCGATACGTGTGCTCCATTTCAGGTACGAGTAAATTTATTCTTGCGTAAATCTGGTCTATACCAGGAGGATCTCCCTTAAATTATTTCATGTGACTTCGTATCAGAAATTGTGTGCAGTGTTAACAAGGGTACACACGTGAAGGTTACACGGTTTCGCTCACTGCGTAATTTCTCCCTCTAGTGAGGCACCTTCTCAAATCGTGCACTCACGCCCCGCCCCTACTTCACATGAAGGTAAACATCAGAATAAAAAAAATGAAAGCCGTTTACAATTCCCTGTAACGCCGGTTAGAGCGCAGCTCTTGAGGAGGAAGATGGAAGCGTACTGAGAGATAGGTGACTCCTTGAGGTCACGTGACCTCAAGGGGGTCACGTGACTTCAGGGGGTAACGTGACCTAAGGGGTCACGGGACCTCAGGGGCTCACGTGACCTTTTGGGGTCACGTGACCTCGGGGCTCACGTCACCTTAGGGGGTCACGTGACCTCAGGGGGTTACGTGACCTAGGGGTGTCACGTGACCCCCTAAAGTTACTTCTGGGGGTCACGTGACCTCAAGGGGGTCACGTGACTTCAGGGGGTCACGTGACCTTAGGGGGTCACGTGACCCCTTAGTTCACGTGACCCCAGAAGTCACGTGACTTCATGGGGGTCACGTGACCTAAGGGGGTCACGTGATCTCAGGGGGTCACTTGACCTGGGTGGGTCACGTGACCTCGCGGTTACGCCGACGGCGACGGCGACGCCGCTCAAGCCGGAAACGGGCCCCTAAGAGC